GGATTTAACTCTTTGAACGTACAATAGTGGTTGTGAAGCAGAAAGTCAGTTTATTTAGCACAATCGGTCAATTGCAGCTTGCCGTTGGCTGGAAACTGTACGTTTATGTCACTGGAATGCACTAATCACCCAAAAAATATTACCGCCACCCGGCGTGTAAATGGATCTAACTCTTTGAACGTACAATAGTGGTTGTGAAGCAGAAAGTCAGTTTATTTAGCACAATCGGTCAATTGCAGCTTGCCGTTGGCTGGAAACTGTACGTTTATGTCACTGGAATGCACTAATCACCCAAAAAATATTACCGCCACCCGGCGTGTAAATGGATTTTAACTCTCTTTGAACGTACAATAGTGGTTGTGAAGCAGAAAGTCAGTTTATTTAGCACAATCGGTCAATTGCAGCTTGCCGTTGGCTGGAAACTGTACGTTTATGTCACTGGAATGCACTAATCACCCAAAAAATATTACCGCCACCCGGCGTGTAAATGGATTTAACTCTTTGAACGTACAATAGTGGTTGTGAAGCAGAAAGTCAGTTTATTTAGCACAATCGGTCAATTGCAGCTTGCCGTTGGCTGGAAACTGTACGTTTATGTCACTGGAATGCACTAATCACCCAAAAAATATTACCGCCACCCGGCGTGTAAATGGATCTAACTCTTTGAACGTACAATAGTGGTTGTGAAGCAGAAAGTCAGTTTATTTAGCACAATCGGTCAATTGCAGCTTGCCGTTGGCTGGAAACTGTACGTTTATGTCACTGGAATGCACTAATCACCCAAAAAAAAATATTACCGCCACCCGGCGTGTAAATGGATCTAACTCTTTGAACGTACAATAGTGGTTGTGAAGCAGAAAGTCAGTTTATTTAGCACAATCGGTCAATTGCAGCTTGCCGTTGGCTGGAAACTGTACGTTTATGTCACTGGAATGCACTAATCACCCAAAAAAATATTACCGCCACCCGGCGTGTAAATGGATTTAACTCTTTGAACGTACAATAGTGGTTGTGAAGCAGAAAGTCAGTTTATTTAGCACAAATCGGTCAATTGCAGCTTGCCGTTGGCTGGAAACTGTACGTTTATGTCACTGGAATGCACTAATCACCCAAAAAATATTACCGCCACCCGGCGTGTAAATGGATCTTAACTCTTTGAACGTACAATAGTGGTTGTGAAGCAGAAAGTCAGTTTATTTAGCACAATCGGTCAATTGCAGCTTGCCGTTGGCTGGAAACTGTACGTTTATGTCACTGGAATGCACTAATCACCCAAAAAATATTACCGCCACCCGGCGGCGTGTAAATGGATTTAACTCTTTGAACGTACAATAGTGGTTGTGAAGCAGAAAGTCAGTTTATTTAGCACAATCGGTCAATTGCAGCTTGCCGTTGGCTGGAAACTGTACGTTTATGTCACTGGAATGCACTAATCACCCAAAAAATATTACCGCCACCCGGCGTGTAAATGGATCTAACTCTTTGAACGTACAATAGTGGTTGTGAAGCAGAAAGTCAGTTTATTTAGCACAAATCGGTCAATTGCAGCTTGCTTGCCGTTGGCTGAAAACTGTACGTTTATGTCACTGGAATGCACTAATCACCCAAAAAATATTACCGCCACCCGGCGTGTAAATGGATTTAACTCTTTGAACGTACAATAGTGGTTGTGAAGCAGAAAGTCAGTTTATTTAGCACAATCGGTCAATTGCAGCTTGCCGTTGGCTGGAAACTGTACGTTTATGTCACTGGAATGCACTAATCACCCAAAAAATATTACCGCCACCCGGCGTGTAAATGGATCTAACTCTTTGAACGTACAATAGTGGTTGTGAAGCAGAAAGTCAGTTTATTTAGCACAATCGGTCAATTGCAGCTTGCCGTTGGCTGGAAACTGTACGTTTATGTCACTGGAATGCACTAATCACCCAAAAAATATTACCGCCAGCCCGGCGTGTAAATGGATTTAACTCTTTGAACGTACAATAGTGGTTGTGAAGCAGAAAGTCAGTTTATTTAGCACAATCGGTCAATTGCAGCTTGCCGTTGGCTGGAAACTGTACGTTTATGTCACTGGAATGCACTAATCACCCAAAAAATATTACCGCCACCCGGCGTGTAAATGGATCTAACTCTTTGAACGTACAATAGTGGTTGTGAAGCAGAAAGTCAGTTTATTTAGCACAATCGGTCAATTGCAGCTTGCCGTTGGCTGGAAACTGTACGTTTATGTCACTGGAATGCACTAATCACCCAAAAAATATTACCGCCACCCGGCGTGTAAATGGATTTAACTCTTTGAACGTACAATAGTGGTTGTGAAGCAGAAAGTCAGTTTATTTTAGCACAATCGGTCAATTGCAGCTTGCCGTTGGCTGGAAACTGTACGTTTATGTCACTGGAATGCACTAATCACCCAAAAAATATTACCGCACCCGGCGTGTAAATGGATCTAACTCTTTGAACGTACAATAGTGGTTGTGAAGCAGAAAGTCAGTTTATTTAGCACAATCGGTCAATTGCAGCTTGCCGTTGGCTGGAAACTGTACGTTTATGTCACTGGAATGCACTAATCACCCAAAAAATATTACCGCCACCCGGCGTGTAAATGGATTTAACTCTTTGAACGTACAATAGTGGTTGTGAAGCAGAAAGTCAGTTTATTTAGCACAATCGGTCAATTGCAGCTTGCCGTTGGCTGGAAACTGTACGTTTATGTCACTGGAATGCACTAATCACCCAAAAAATATTACCGCCACCCGGCGTGTATATGGATTTAACTCTTTGAACGTACAATAGTGGTTGTGAAGCAGAAAGTCAGTTTATTTAGCACAATCGGTCAATTGCAGCTTGCCGTTGGCTGGAAACTGTACGTTTATGTCACTGGAATGCACTAATCTAACACCCAAAAAATATTACCGCCACCCGGCGTGTAAATGGATCTAACTCTTTTTGAACGTACAATAGTGGTTGTGAAGCAGAAAGTCAGTTTATTTAGCACAATCGGTCAATTGCAGCTTGCCGTTGGCTGGAAACTGTACGTTTATGTCACTGGAATGCACTAATCACCCAAAAAAATATTACCGCCACCCGGCGTGTAAATGGATCTAACTCTTTGAACGTACAATAGTGGTTGTGAAGCAGAAAGTCAGTTTATTTAGCACAATCGGTCAATTGCAGCTTGCCGTTGGCTGGAAACTGTACGTTTATGTCACTGGAATGCACTAATCACCCAAAAAATATTACCGCCACCCGGCGTGTAAATGGATTTAACTCTTTGAACGTACAATAGTGGTTGTGAAGCAGAAAGTCAGTTTATTTAGCACAATCGGTCAATTGCAGCTTGCCGTTGGCTGGAAACTGTACGTTTATGTCACTGGAATGCACTAATCACCCAAAAAATATTACCGCCAGCCGGCGTGTAAATGGATTTAACTCTTTGAACGTACAATAGTGGTTGTGAAGCAGAAAGTCAGTTTATTTTGCACAATCGGCAAACTGCAGCACCAACTGTGCACGACAGCACACAAAAAAAAAAAAAGGGTGTATGTCACTTTAAATTTTCGATTCTTTGATAGCTGTGCCCTAAGTAACGATTCTGTGTCCCTGAGTAACGATTCTGTGTCCCTGAGTAACGATTCTGTGCCCTGAGTAACGATTCTGTGGCCCTAAAGTCTCTGTGGCCCTAACTCTGTCCCTGTCCCTAAGGTCTGTCTCTCTCTTGAATGACCGGAGGCTAATGGAGAATTCTAAGATGGCCGCGATTTATAGCTCCACCATTACACAGTGCTGGCTGGCTGCTGATTGGCTAATGCGATCACATGTCATGAATGCATTATGGGTCAGCGCGCCTTGTCTGCGCGCCTTCCCAGAGATCCCCGCCCCATCTTCTCTGTCCATTTTCTCCGTCGCCACACATGTCGCCGCCATTTTTGGGAAAATTCGATTCGTGCATCCGAAGTTTGCTAATCTTCGGATTCGTCGCGAATAGAATTTTTCCAAATCTTCGGAACGAATTCCACTTCGTCATGTTCGATTCGCTCATCTCTAATTATGATTTAAAAAGGAACCAAACAGCTATTTGATAATAAATTGCTTCATATGATCATCATCCTTCAATAAAAGAGCATTTTTTGGCCTGATCAGTCATATTTTCAATATCAATGCCCAAATTTCACAATTTCTGACAGGGTATGCAAACTTTTGAGCCCAACTGTACATTTTGTAATGAGATAAATAACTTTAAACCATGTGGCAAAATTCCTATAATGAAAAAGTCCAAAGTGGTATTATACCCAACATCAAATTATATTAAATAGTCCTTTTAGAACCCTTCTTATGGAGTGCTTCTTTTTTTCTTCACCACTTGTGCTCAAAAGCGAGCACTCAACAAAAGTGTTTGACCCCTCTTTACAGGTAGGTTAATCAGCTCTTTGTTCTTTAGGGCCTTTATCCCCATATCTTCCTACAGTCTAATGGCAAATCACTCATAAAGCAACCAAGCATGAGACATCATATAAAACCATCATGGCATAGTATTTATTATAAACCAACAGTTAAAACTAAAGATTTGACACCAGTGTATACAGCTTGTATGTTAGCGCCACGTCACACCACTCTCACTGTTTGGTGTGCGTTTCAAGCCTCGATCTTGGCTGTATGTGACATCATAAGGGACTGAGAAGCAGCAGTCCTTGTACTTCAACTTACGTTTCACCAGAGCAGCATCTTCCCTTTATAAAATGTAAGGATCAAAGTCAGCCAATAGACTAAAAACCTTCATTTCACTTTGTGCCTGAAATCTAATCTCAAAATTATTGAGAAGCAATGAAAGTAATTGCATTACACCATTGAGAGCTCCCACAACTGGCTAGTTTGAAAATTTCCACACACAAAAAAAAACAAATGTGAACATGAAAGGTTACCATAAAATTAAAAGTTAAAGGATTAAAGGATAAGTTCACCTTTCATAACATGTTCCATGTTACACCTATATTCAGGGTTATGAAAGGCCTAGCCCCCACTCCTCCTCACTCCACTGCTTTGACAGTTAGCAAGAGTTCTTCTCCCTCCTCTAGCTGTCAACATTTTTTAAAAACATGGCTGTGCAGTATTCCGTGAATAAGAAAACTACAAGTCCTGACAGCCTTACTGGCTATTGGCTTGTAGTTCAGCTTTAAATCTGTCAAAAAAATGCCTTACCAATCTTTCAGGCTCATTTAGTTTATCAGAGGAGGAATTAAATAGCAGTGCTACTGCAAAGATACATTAATGTAAGCATGTGTGGGGGAACAGATGTTTCAATTTCTTTAATCTACTGTTTACAACACTGGTATACTTGAAGACATAGACTGTCCTAATTCCAGAGGCAAACATTAAGTTGTGATTTGTTAATTATCTTGACATCAAGAGTGCAGCAGTGCTTGAGAAAAGACATACTGTTTACATTAATGTTACGTGACTAAGTGTTTAGAGGAGCTTCCATATTGCAAGGTACGTATTTTCATTTTTAAATATAGCAAAGGATGGCTAGTGAGGACTATAATGTACTTTTAATCCTACTTAAGCACAATGATTACTTTCCTATATGTACATCACTGAGTAAAGCAATATAAAACATAAAAGTAGATTCATTTGTTACCTAGTTATATTTAAAGAGCCATTGATTTATGATATAATCAATACATGTTTATTATATCACTAAATCTGACGCTGTTGTCTGTGTGATATATAACCTTGTAAGAAGATTCAGGAGTCAAGACATGTACTAGGTTGCTTTCCAATATTTATTTTATATGGGAAGCAGTGTCTTATATACAGGTACCGTATACATCGGATTCTCATGCTCATCATAAATGTATCTACTTGTGTTTTGCCTATTTATGTGCTTATTGAGATGTAGCAGTGGTAAATAATACCTATACTTCTGATTTTAAAAGAAGTGGATAGGAAACATGTTTGAAATCTATTGACTAGAGCAGTTTTTTCTCAACCGGAAGAAACTGTGACCACTATGGGCCCTGCTAGTAATAATCCTGTAATGTAAGAAGATTCAGGAGTTAAGACATGTACTAGGTTACTTTCCAATCAGGGGCGGACTGACAACTCATGGGGCCCCCGGGCAATAGGGGATCATGGGGCCCATGTGTCCTTGCCCAAACTCAAAAAAGCCTATGAAAAAGGTACCAGGGGCATCTCATGGGACCCCGTACTGACCCCGGGCCCTCGGGCAGTGCCCGAGTTTTCAAATGGTCAGTCCGCCCCTGTTTCCAGTATTAATTTTATATGGGAAGCAGTGTCTTATATACAGGTACTGTAAACATCAAATTATCATGCTCATCATACATGCATCTACTTGTAGGATGTGTGTTTTGCCTATTTATGTGTTTATTGAGATGTAGCAGTGGTAAATAATACCCATTACTTCTGATTTTAAAAGAAGTGGATAGGAAACATGTTTGAAATCTATTGACTAGAGCAGTGTTTCTCAACCTTTTCTCAGTCAAGGCACCTGTAAAATTATGCACAATCTTGAGACACCCCACTCTAAAATGTAAAAAAACTAAACTAATAGTTTTATCCAATACAGCATCATCCACACACGTAAGGCAACCAAGACTAGTGGTGATTTATTCTTCTAAAGCAAATATACCTTTGCACACTGGTACTGACTTGTATTCCAATTAGAGATGAGCGAATTATTCAAAAATTTGATTCGGCTGATTCGCCGAATTTGCGGAATAAATTCGATTCGATGCAAATTTATTCGCTGCGAATTTAACTTATTAAAAGGGTTTCTAGGCTTCAGAGAGCCTTTATATTAGTGCAGAACACTGTACCTTTAATTTAAATGCCCTTGGAGTCTGCTGGGGAAGAGAAATAATACTGTCAGTCAGTATGACCTGTAGATGAGTGCCGTCGATCTTAGAATCACCGCACACTTCACTCATTTGGGCAGTCACGGGGCACGACGAAGAAGATGAAGAAGAAGATGAAGAAGAAGAAGAAGATGAAGAAGAAGAAGAAGAAGAAGAAGATGAAGAAGATGAAGAAGATGAAGAAGAAGAGAAGAAGATGAAGAAGATGAAGAAGATGATGATGATGAAGAAGATGATGATGAAGAAGATGATGATGAAGAAGATGATGAAGAAGAAGAAGAAGAAGAAGAAGAAGAAGATGAAGAAGAAGAAGAAGAAGAAGAAGAAGAAGAAGAGAAGAAGAAGATGAAGAAGAAGAAGAAGAAGAAGAAGAATGAAGAAGAAGAAGAAGATGAGAAGAAGAAGAGAAGAAGAAGAAGAAGAAGAAGAAGAAGAAGAAGAAGAAGAAGAAGAAGAAGAAGAAGATGAGAAGAAGAAGAAGAAGATGAAGAAGAAGAAGAAGAGGGTGAGGATGAAGAAGCAGAAGAAGAAGATGAGGATGAAGAAGAAGAAGAAGATGATGAAGAAGATGATGATGAAGAAGATGATGATGATGAAGAAGAAGAGATGATGAAGAAGAAGATGATGAAGAAGAAGAAGATGATGATGAAGAAGAAGAAGAAGAAGAAGAGGATGAGGATGAAGAAGAAGAAGAAGAAGAAGAGGATGAGGAAGAAGAAGAAGAAGAGGATGAGGAAGAAAAAGAAGAAGAGGATGAGGATGAGGATGAAGAAGAAGAGGATGAGGATGAGGATGAAGAAGAAGAAGAAGAAGAAGAAGAAGAGGATGAGGATGAGGATGAAGAAGAAGAAGAAGAAGAAGAAGAAGAAGAAGAAGAAGAAGAGGATGAGGATGAGGATGAAGAAGAAGAAGAGGATGAGGATGAAGAAGAAGAAGAAGAGGATGAGGATGAGGGTGAAGAAGAAGAAGAAGAAGAAGAAGTAGGATGAAAATAAGAAGAATTCCAGTACAGCAAAAAGTGTATCTGCAGAGAGCTCCGCTATTTCTGACAGTTCTCTGACAGTTCCTTCACATTTACAGCGGTTGAAACATTGTATCTATTTGTTTCCGAATAAAAACATCTGTATCCTAAATGGAAACAAATAGATACAATGTTTCAACCGCTGTAAATGTGAAGGAACTGTCAGAGAACTGTCAGAAATAGCAGAGCTCTCTGCAGGGACACTTTTTGCCGGCTGTAGAAGGGATGAAAATCGGCCGATCGGGAAAAATTTGATTCGTGCATCCGAAGTTTGCTAATTTTCGGATTCGGTGCGAATCAAATTTTTCCTAATATTCGAAACGAATTCCACTTCGCCAAGTTCGATTCGCTCATCTCTAATTCCAATGTTTCTCCTCTCCCCCAGTTTCTCTCCCTCTTGCTCTAGTTCTGATGGAGAGCGTCAGGAGAAGAAAAAAAAAGGATACTGTGTAGGTGCCCGATGTTCTCCTTATTAACTGATTACATTATTGGTTGTTATGACACCAGTGGCTAGAGGATTGTAATGGTGCACAATGGTAATACGTGGCTCTGTGGTTTTGTGTAGCTAAAAGGCAGGCTTAATCCACCCACTGGCTTGTATACAATGTTTGGGCAATTTTTAGGCATTTGAAAATAAAAAAGCAAAAGTCTCTCAGCACTCTCAGCTTAGTACATGAACGATATTCAAAAGAATATAAAAAGTATTTATTCCTCATTCCTATTGGTGGAATGGCTCAGGTCAGCAGCCTTAATGATAATTCCTGTGGAATGAAGACCAGGAATGGATGGATGAGAGGATGGATGGATGGAGAGCGCTAATGAAATTCCACTGCTTGGCACATCAGATCTGGGAGGAATCCTCAATGGTATATAGAAGACAAAAGCACAAGAATTTGTAAAAATAATGTGTAATTTTTTAAACAAATATCCAATCTTACATTCAAGTAAGAGAAGTGCTGCTTGGACATGGAAGGAAATGACAGTATGTGCCTGAGAATGATGAGCCCGGTCTAAACATCGGCTATAGCTGTCATCCACAGGAAACCAGACTCGTTGTGTAAAGATGGAAAGCTGCAACATCAACGGCCATCTTCAACGAACATGTCATCCACTGGGAAGAAGTGAAGGGGGGTACATACAACGTGTTTCAGATGCCCTGCCTTCTTTATCAAGTACCTGATAAAAGGATAAAGGAGGCAGGGCCTCTGAAACGCATTGTACATGTCCCCTTTGCTTCTTCCCAGTGGATGCCATGTTCATTGAAGCCTCAATTAGATGGGAAAATGCATGACTTGTAGATAATCAGAAAATGTAAATACTCAGCAACTCTTTCTGTACAACTTTGAAGGACTTGATGATGCTGCTTTTCATAAGGTTGTGTAGTCTGCATATCTTTAACCTTTTGTAAACCCAAAATGATTGAAGAGATAAGTAGTCCAGGTAAAAGTAGGGGTTAAAAGTAAAGAGAGCAAAGGGAGATGCAAGATAAAGAGGTTAAGTAGAAAATATTTATCTTTTTTAAGAAAACAACAGTACATTAATTGCTCTTCATTTCTTTCATTCTTTTTCAATAAACAGAACTAAGAAACTTGCAAGCCCAAATTCATCTGTGACAATGCAAGGGTTATTGTTTTTTCGCTGCAAATTAATACAGTATGTGTGGAATGGAATGGAATGCTGTATATTTTTTGGAAAACATTTCAGAAAACATAGTAACGTGAAAAAACTAGCATGTGTTCGTGCCCATTACCTACTTTTGGCTCGATCTATCAAATTTTGCAAATTGAATCTAGTGAGTGGACCTGGTCCTGGCCAATATCATATCAGGCAAATCAATGTATTCTTTTCTCATTGTTTCTTGTCAACATTAAATTAATTCATTAGGTTGCATTTGTCTTCTATGTATACTTGCAGATTTATATTACATTATGTAACAATATTTAACTATCTAGTTAGATAATTTAAAATTGAATTCTGGAACATTATATAGTACAGTCAGATGAAAACTCTCATCATGTGTAAGAATTAAGGATTCTATCAAAAATAAAAATGTGTTACCAAGGCACTTGTTTTGCAGTAATCTTGAAATTTAATGCAAAACGGGTGTTCTGAGGGGCATATCTTATAATCATCTTTCACTGAAAGATATATCCTTATCAAACAACAGTTCATTGACTAGGGGAACTTGCACTCCCTGTAGTTTAGATGTTCACATGAGTAAATGAATGGAACTATTATTTGTGAAGATCATTCTCCTATTACCTGCCTAGAGGGAGTAATCCGAGTGTCTCAAGTCACCTATAAAACAGCCAGT